CACACACACACACACACACACACACACACACATCTAATGATCGTTTTTTTCCTTTGATCTCACTAGATTTCTGCTTCTCCTCCTTTTTTCTCTGATATTATTCCTCCCACTCCCTGCCCACTCTCCCAGTCTCCCTTTGGTCCAATTTCTTCTATTTATTTATTTTTTTACTGGTATCGCCTTCCCCACTATTCTTTTTCCCATTGATCCATAGAGTTGTGTTACTGCATCTGCACGCAGTTGATCCTGTAACGCATCTGTATCAAAAATGAGGTCAGATTATTTTTAAAACTCCAGCTCCACCCACCCCCACCCCGTGTTTTTGTGTATTCATTATCGCACACACAGAGAAATCGAGAAACAAAACTGTGGCTAACTGTTTCTTTGTCTCTTCTCTCTGTCTCTCTCTCTGCGATCCTTCCTGAAAGTTTCTGATGGTAGGTGCTTCTGTTTCCTTCTTCACTCGCTGCCACCAGATTATATTTAGTAACCTAAAAGAAACTAGTTCCCCAGCGTCAAATAAATCAACCCAACACAAATTTTGAGGATTCTCATGGTCTCTAATCTGAGGCTGTGCAAGAACCATAAAGTATGTTTGGTATTTTCACAAGGAAAAACCCAGTTTATTAGTCTGGACGCCAAATAAAACTCGTAAAAATGCCCAAACTTAATCACATAAATAAATCAGTCTTATTGAAATGTTTTTATCTCGCTCTGTCAACGTAGTTCCTGGGTGCCCATGTTCTTTTCCCCACATACTCACTCAGTATTTATTCACTAGTTCAGTGTACTCAGTTTTTTAAGTGCAATCGGTTTAAAAGTTTTTAAAGTAATGATAACTGATTTTACAGTGTAAGTGTAAATAAGTATTTTGAAAAAAGGCTACTTTAGTACTAAGTAAATGATCTGATTTAATAGTTAAAAATGATTAAATCAGACTGACTAAAAATAGAAAGTTATGTGCAAAATCTGCTGTTTTAATGACTAAAATAAAGAAAATTAAAACCAACAAATAACATTATTACAAATGAATAAACTCCAGCAGAAGAAACACAATTCCAGGTCAAATTCTCATTGTGAAACTAAGAGTAAAATACTTCCAGTGGCTGTATCTACTGACCTCGGTGTCTCAGCAGATAGAAAATAGCATCACAACAACAAAGCTTGTGTACAAACAAGAGGTCTCACTCCAACAGAAACTGTAGGTGTGTCTCTGGTGCATTCCTGGTCAAAACATGTYTGTTCTTMATTCAGTGAAGTTTCTGGTGGGCAGAGTAGTCAGATATTTAACTCAAGGAAAAGTAAAGATACTTCATAATAATATTCAAGTAAATCAAAAAAGTACAGTGTAGTACAATTACTCCTTCAGTAATTTYTTCCAAAACATTACTCAAGTAAATTCAACTGAATAAATCTGTACACCACTCATAAGGTATTAATTATTTGTTCAAATCTGCCTTAAAAAAGGACCAGGCGATATCTTTAATACCACTTCTTTTCTGTGTACACAGCAAATACAAGCAACAACACAAGCCTACAGCTTTAAAAGTAACAAGGCTTGTGAGAACAATATGTTTGACCAGTAACAAAAGCAGTTGGCAAAGTTAAAGAAAGCTTTAWGTTTCAGCTTTAAAATACTTCTGGTACTACCCAGAAATTAAAGTGCTTGTTTCATTTTTTTATGTAGAAAATGTTTGCTTTTGGGAAAAATTGCAAAAAGTGTAATAAAAACAGGATAAAAAGTCACAACCTGTTTCCTGACAAAAGACCTCAAGGTCCAAAAGATTAGGCCAGTTGTGTAAACTGCGTTAAATGACTGGTCAACAGGAGATAATACCAGTGTTTGCCCAATTAAAGAGCTTCAGTATAGTCTTACTGTACAATATCATAACAAAATAAGTTTATTATAAGGAGACTTGCTGCAGCCTTCAGCCTGGTTCTCATGTTAGTCCTCATCCAACAACTTCTCTTGGGTCCATAACTTTTGATGTCTGACAAAATGATTGCTGCTTGTCCAGATTTCTGAAGCTGTCAGCTAGTTTTTTTTTCCTTGTGTTAAATGCCTGTACACCTCTACATGCTGGTCGCCCCTTTTCCACTAGTGCTACTTAGTGTCGGTACGGTTCGGTACAGTTCCAAGCCATTTCTATTAGGTCAGATTAATGGAACCAGCCCTTTTTTTAGCACCTACTTTGTTATGGACTAATTATCTAYCTGTTTCACCTTTGGCGCTGTCCAGTACTCATATCTGTTTGCCCAGATGTCAGGACTCCGCAACGGACTGAATTCTCTTGTTTGATAAGCCACTCTTTGAGCTGGGAGCCATGTGATAGGCTGGACAGTACATTTGGCAATCTGTGATTGGTTGTAAACTGTCACATGGTGTTAACATAATGTTATATTACTGGCTGTTTTCTGCTGACGTGTCAGTCACAAGCATACAGAGCTTCCTAATTGAGTCCTGTTTGTTTGTCGCTCAGAATTAAATCATTATTACCACCATACACGCAGACTTTCTGTGCATTATTCCATGTTTCTGCATTCATGCGATGACATACTTCATAGTGGTTCCAAGTGGTCCCAGTCGACAACARAATGCAACATCAGAACACTGTTCGTCACTGATTGGCTAGGGGGTGGAGTCACTGGTTGCGTCTGAGCTGCCTTTACAAGAACAACTTGAGGTGCCATTTTTTCACTTGTAGCAGGTGACATTCGTCGTGTTTCTATCCAACTTTAATTTGAATTTTTAGCGAATTTTTAAAATTTCAGAACTTATTCGGCAAATGTGTTTCCATCTCTCATTTTGCGCATTAACTTTTTTTTTTTTTGAAAAACTCAAAAACCACCTCCACCAACCGCCCAAAACACATCCACTGGAACTGGACTGGAACGTCAATGGAAAAGCACCCGAACTGGCCCGTTCTGTCATTTACCGTACCAACACTACACTAAGTGGTACTAGTGGAAAACGGGCAAACCTTCACTAATGGCTGCTTCGCAAATTCACCCGTTTTTCCCTTTTACACTCATTAAACCAAAATGTTCACTGCTCAATGCGAGAGCTGTCCAGGAAAATGCCAAATAACGGCAAGTCAGTGTTTGACACTTTGAGGAAGCTTTGTTTAATACAGCCACTCAATATTTGCTTCAGCTTTGAAGATCTACCTGTATGAACAGCACAGAAAAATTAGCACTTGGTTGATTAATTCTTTGTCGTGACAATGCTTCTTGGCAATAAATGGTTGGTCCTCAGTAAAGGAAGTATGTATTGCCTTYTGAGGGTGACCAAACTGGTCAGCAGCGTGAAAAAGAAAGTGTTGTGGCTGTGTATGGTTCTTCCACATGCTGCCATGGCCCTTGTTTTTACATGAATCCATTGTTTATTGCCAATTTGTCTTATTTTGTAAGACTTTAAATATCCAAACAAGCGTTAGTAGTAGAATAAACTGTTTGGCAGAGATTTGGCTCCTCGTGGGCATGACCCACCAAAATATTTTCCTAATTGTGGCACCACTGAAGGGTCAATAAACAGACTTTTCAAGAGTTTGAAGATTAAACACCAAGAACAAAGAACTAATCACCCAAACACAAATTTCCTTACTTTTGTGCCAAATTTATCAACATCTCTTACTTGAGTTTTCTGACATGATAAATGTTTTCTTTTTATGTTTCTCTACGTTTCTTATGTCCTCAGGCTGCAGAGATCAGGGTGTTCCTCAAGACGTCTGAGAGAAGCTGTTTTCTTATTGGCTGCTGGATCTGACACAGTTTGACCTGTTTAACCCTCCAGAGGCCTAAAAGCAACCTTCGAAACGATCCACAGATGTGAGAAGAACTGACTGTTTCTCAGAAAAAAAAATCTTGGCTGCTGATTGGTGAACACAAAACTGTTTAAAAGGGACATTAAAAAAGGAGGCTGGCACTTTTGTTTTGTTGGTTATTCGATTTTTATCTTTTATTATACTTTATTTGCCAAACTTACAAAACTCTAAACACTTGTAACTTCCTTTTAGCATGAGAAGATGGATTTATAAGGTGTCGCCATACATTCCTGGGTAGACTGCTGTAGGTTTTTAGCTTGTAAACTTTGTTAGAAAGTTGTTGTTTTTATATTTAGAAAAGACGTGTTCTAGATAATGCTTTTTTAATGTGGTAAAATGTGGATTTTCAGGTAAATAGTGCTGAACATTTTGGTTTGAAACACAATGCTGGTGAACTGAAAGGATAAGTTTCAGTGTTTCAAAGTAGTATTAGCCTCTTTCCCTTCAGGTCTGTAATACTGTGACTGTATACTTCTCTGCTGAGCTTCAGTATGTTTCCTCTTACATTTTTATCCAGGTTCAGGGGGCTTGCATGTTCGGTTCCCCCACATTTTTATATGAAAAGGGACAAAATGTTCAAATAATGCAAAAAAAAAGGTTTACAAAAATCACATTAACTTACCCCCAGTATTGATAAATCAGTCAGTATGAGATCAATAATTTGTCAAGAATCGACTAAAACCTGGAAATTAAACGTGATGATGTCATTTTGCAAACAATTAAATGGACTGTAGCTGCTGTGACTCATTCATTTTGCAAATACAGTCTTTTCCAAAGACTCGTTCATCTGCATTTGATTTGAATTTTCAGACGTATAACTGAATATATTTCACCTTAAATAAGCTCTAAATTTATTTATTAAGTTCAAACTATCAGCTCGCTCTGTTCATCAGGTCGCGACCCCAGGCTCTCTTGTTAAGACACTTCAGGGGTCCAGATTTGGAACTAAACATCTGCACCTCATTAATTCAGCTCGATACRTTTTTTTGTTTGTTTGTTTGTTTGGGGGTTTTTTGCATCACGTGTGAGCGCTCATATTGTTTATGCACTTACGTGAGCCTGCTCGTATGGTAATGTGGTCGATGGAGGACAGCAGACGATTTGTCCTCAGCCTCAAGAAATAATAAAATATGTTTGATGGTTTACATGAAATTTCCATTGGAATTGTGGGTCCAGGCACAAGCTTACCCATGGTACCCTGTCACATTCTGCATTGTAAATTGGGTTTATTTCAATTAAAATAAATAACAAGGGTCAAAGGTCAAACAGCTCAAAACAAACAGTCTAAAACAAAAAAAAAACCCAGCTATAACGTCTGAACTGGACCATTTTTCTGCAGATTTGTTAATCATCTTTTGTGTAACCCAACTAATAAAAAATAAATAAAYAAACCAATAATATCACCTAATTGTCACATTGGCCAAATGTTAAATCTAAATAATGAATAAAAACCAAATCTTGCAAGTCTGTGGACAAAAAATAGCCGCTTTTCAAAATAAAWTAAAGACAAATCAAGAACATAAACTGAAAAATAAGCTATCTCAAAAGAGCACTCTGAGTTTTATGCTAATAATTTGCATTACAAATTAAATTAATTATTATCATCATTATTATTATTAAATAAGTTACATTTGGATTAACTAAACATCATTTTTAAATGTTGTGTTTTTACATAACTTATGAGTTGAACAATCGAATCACCTGTGTCCACTAATCCCTTTTTTATTTTTATTTTTATTTTTTGCTATTTTTAGTAAAATATTGAAGTGTTTATATTTATCAGTAAGATTATTAAAATTTAGGTCATATTTTACCCCTCAATAAAAACACCATGTTGACAGTGGTGCACTAA